TCCGGTTCAGCGTCTCAGTATACCGTGAGCAGCAGCTCGCGGTATACTGCGGCGTCTCAGTATACCGCAAGCTACAGCTTGCGGTATACTAAGCCTAGGGTGGCGGGAGGACGCTAGTTTGTGTCCTCCCGTTACCCTAAGGAGAACTATAGGGAAAAGCCTTAACCCCATAGTTCTCCTTTAAATTGCTAAAGCACTGTGCCACAAACTGCCACCATGTTTCTTCCTTTTAGAAAATACTTGTTTACGCATTTTTCATCGTTCGCCGAGTGGGTTTCCGGATGGTGACAAGAGTGGGCCATGTCTGCACAATATGCATTGACACGGTCACTTGTAGTTTCCACTGGGAGTGCGTGTGACAGTGTTACAAGGCAAGAGAACAATTGAGAGAGTTTTGTCACCCTATAAAAGAGGAATTATCTGCACAAGGACCTTCATGGCACCAGGTACTGTTTTAATGAAACGAGTAGACTGAAAATGACTTTTGAAAGTACATTAACGTTTCAAATAATATCCAAGATATTAGAAATTTGGTTTAGATCCTTGGTCCTCAACTGGTGGGTCGTGACCCAGATGTGGGTCACAACCCCGTGTTCAGTAGGTCGCCGTGTGCCTTTTACTTTTCTAGGCAAGAGGCTTCTCAACCTCCCCCTAGTGCAGCACTGTCAGTTCACGTGCCAAGCAGCCATTCATATGCTGATTGGCGCCGATCGTCAGCTTAAGGTGGGGTGGGCTGGAGCTATAGCTGCAAGGGAGCTCCATCCATACATGAACTGCTTACAGCTTCCTTGCATGTCCTGTAGAGGTGTCTGGACCCGTGCGACGTCACGTTCTGGCTCCCGACACCTCTTCAGGGCACGCAAGGGAGTTGTACAAGCAATGCACATATGGAGGGAGCTGCGTCAAAGCACAGCAGCCCACACTGGACCCCAGGCTGAGGGTCCACTCCAGTTCTTGTAAGGTAGGGAGACTGGGTGGATCTTAAAAAAAACATTTTTTTTTTTTTTGGTGTGTCAGTGTTCTTGAGGGCCCATTCACACTAGCACAGTGTGATAATCGAACAGTCCTGTGCGATCGCACTGACTGTGTTCTGGTGTGGGAGGTGCATTGCGTTGCCATTCATTTGAATGGCACCCCAAATGCACCTCCTGCCCACAGTTCATTCGCCCACACCGGAACGTGCGGTACCCTAATGCCGTGAATTTCTTTGCATTGCAACTTGGGTCACGACTTAATGACCAAGAAGAAATGTGGGTCCTGAGGTTACACCGGTGGAGAACCACTGGTTTAGATCTACTTAAAAAATAAAAAAAATCCTTATGGATACTTCCTATCTTTTCCTTTTTGTTTCTGTATGTGCCTTTTGTACTTTCTACTATGCAAAAATGAATAAAAATGATCCGATTTAAAAAATAGAACTGATGCGTGTGGACAGCGGCCTCCAAAACATTGAAATAAAGCAAATCAAAAAGTAAGACAAGCAGTGGACCTCATTAAAGGGAACTGATATCCAAATCTTTTATGCACCTTAACCCCTTCGTGACGGGAGACGTACACTGTACGTCCAGCCACAAAGGGACCAAATGACTTGTCACGTACACTGTACATGACGAGTTATTTGCTTCTTTAGAGGGCTGTTAAACGCTGAGAATCAGCTTTTAACATTCATTAATGGATGCCCTTACTACAGAGGCATTCATTAATGAAAGGGTTAACCTTTTTCAGACACCCGATACCTTAATATCGGGTGTCTGAGAGTCAAAGCAAACGGACACACATGCCGGCTTTTGCCGGCATTCTGACAGCTCGTATAGATCGAGAGAGATATCTCTCTCAAGCTATACTGGCTTTTTTTTCTTTTTTTCTTTCATGAATAGATACATAATGTGTCTATTCCTATAATGTATCTATTCCTGGAAGAAGAATGTTTCAGTTTGCTGATCGTTGTTGCAACAATCAGAAAACCTATAGTGACAGCTGAATCCTGAACTGCTGCAGGATCAGTGTCACTAACTTATTATCGGCTGTTCTGAAGTTTGAAGCAGCCTGATAATAACCAAAAATGTATTAATTTATCAAGCAGTAACAGTGAGATTAATTCACAATGACTGTTTGATATAATTAAATAAATAAAATACAATTTTTAAGTTTAAAAAAAAGTGAAAAGTGTAAAAAAAAATAAAAATAAAGGGACAAATAAATGAATGTATTTATTGCATTTTTTTAGCTGTGCTGGTGTTGTAAAAAAAATACTACAAATCAAAACTGGGAAAAAAGTGTGAGGAACAACAGCACTAGAAAGGTAATGCAATACTTGTACATTAGAGCAAAACCAAAAAAACTTACAAGGTTCACATCCACTTTAACCTCTTGCCGTCCGCCCGTAGTAAAAAAACGGACGGAATCATTAGGTGTCAGTTAATTTGACAATTAAGCTATAAATAATTTATCTTCCTTAATCATTTTTACACCGCTTTTGAGGCCATAGAAGGATTTCATTTGATCCAAGTCCTAATAATGATCACACTGTGACAGTTGCTGCCTGCTGGCTTAAGCTGTCATTCAGCCTCTCTCTAGCCAAGGCACAGTGACAGCTGAAGCCAACAGGTTTGTTTGTAAACAATGGCTGTCATGGTACCCACATGACAGAGAATCCTGCTGACTGGTTCATAATAGGTAGTGAGCAATCAGTGCTCCTAGTTCAGGGATAGTTTTTTATGATCGACGGCGGCCGGCTGCCCCGATGTCAAGAAGAAGAAAAAAAACAGAGCAGAGAGGTTTACTCTGCTAGATAGGAGAAGAGAAAACCTTTCCGGTAGAAAATGTTTCTCTCCCGGGTGTCCGGGAGCAGCTATCTAATAGCGGGAGACTCCCGGAACGTCTGGAAGAGTTGGTATGTCTGCTAGTTCTACAACACGATGTAGATTAACGTTCCCTCAGCAAGGGTCGACTTCTCCGAGAACGTCTATATACAGATTGTGGTAGGGATTGGGTTAAACAGATTCGCATTTTCTCACTTTCTGTTCCTGTCCTTTGAGAGCGGTCATCAAGGGACCTGCCAGCTGCAATATGCTTTTATTTACATCATCTGTTCTTCTAAATGTGATGTGTGTGTGTGTGTATAAAGAGCTGCATAAAACAGAGGAACCCTTTCTATGAGCGTGCTCTTGCACAGAGCTGGTTGGCCGCAACTCTTAGGTTATAGCACAACTGAAGATTCCTTACTTCTGAAGCTTGCCTCTTGTGTATTTAGGTTTGCATACTGCCAAGGCTAAACTGAAAGCATGTGCTGTACAGAAATCATTTTATGGTTCCTGGCACTGAAGACAATGGTTCAATTAGGTAAAAGAAGAAATAGAACATGAATAGGGCTGCAGCTAACGATTATTTTCATAATCGATTAGTTGGCCGATTATTAAGTTCATGAATTACTGTTTTTTTTTTCTATCACAGTAGTGTACTTATCCTTCAACAACCCTGAAAGAATTGGTTTTAACATGGACTGTAAAATGCCTCTCACTTCAGGTAATTTTACAACATCTACATTCAAAAGCACAGACTAATAAAGAAATAGGGCACAGCTACGATTCCAATCAAAAAAAGCAATTCTTCCATCTTTTACTGTAGTGCCGATTTCTTGGCGGATGCTTAATAGAACGACATATAACAGTAGGAGAAGACTGACTGTGATACGGAAGGCCTCAAGACAAGTCTCAGATATTCTATCCATAGGCATTTATAATTGTTACCAGATATAAACCGAGAGAGGCAGAGAATTTTACAAGCCTTTGCTAGACCTCAATATAATGAAGTCCGATTATGGCCTCCAAGGCGGCACTGAGGAGCAGCCGATTCAGAAAGTTGCATAACGAATCCCAGCTCAAAAGTCAACAAAAAACAAACAATGAAGAAAAGCTGGTCTGGATTAAAGTAAAAATGGTCTTAAAAAAAAAAAAAGGTTTAACTTTACTCCAAAGAGAGATACATCCATTCTCTTGGGACACTAGTAAAAAACTGAAGCATCATGGGACTGAGAGGGGATATACTTGGTAAAAACGTCGAGAAAAAAGGGGGTTTAGCTTTTCTCCAAAGAGAAAAGATGTCCACCCTCCTGGAAAATTGCAAAAAAATTAAAGCATCACGGGAGTGAGAGGAGATATACTTGGTTGAAAATACCTAAAAAGGGGGGGGGTTAATTTTTCTATGAAGAGAGAAGATGTCCATCCTTCTAGGACACTATGTAAAAACGGATGCATCATGGCAGTGGGAGGGGTTATACTTGGCTGGCTAATGGCTCTGTTTGTTTGCCAGTGTCTAATTCCTCCTAAAGATGACCGTATAACTCAATGGGAGGAATTTATCAAAACTGGAGCAGTCGCTTATGGCAGCCAATCAGCTTCTCTCTTCAGGTTGCACAGGTAAGATTTGAAAATGAAACAGAAGCTAATTGGTTGCCTTGCAAATCTGCTCCAGATTTTGTCTACTACAGTTTTGATAAATACCCCCCAATGTTTTTGCTTTTACTCATGTTGTGTCCCTTGATGAATGATTAAGGCCTCATGCACACTACGTACCAAAACGCTGAGTTCAGATGCATTTGGAGCTCATTTCTAAACGCACCTGGACTCATGTAATGCTTTTCTATGACTGAATGCACAGCTAGGTGTCCAGCAGCGTTTAGGTGCCTTCGGTCTAGGTCAGTTTACCCAAAATAGACATTTCTGCATTTTGGGTCCGACTAGCCGAGTTTTATGCGGGTAAACGCATATAAATGTGACTATGCCCAGCCCAGAAAAAGTGATCTGGGAAGCATAAAGTTGTTTATTACCTGATGACTTCTGTTGGGCTTTAACCCAGCCTGCTAGTGTACATGAGGCCTAATAAATATGGTGTACATCAGCCTCTATGATATGCACAGGTACTGTTAGATGAGATAGAAGAAAGAATGGAATGGGAAACTTTAAAGGAAAACCCTTTAAAAAGGGAAAGTGGTTACTTACCGCAGCAATCATGATGGCGTTATCCAAGAAGCCAAACCCCACGAACGGCAATGCATTGTGGATAAACACTGAAACACAAAGATGGAAAAATACAAAAATGTCAAGGGCAAAATCCATATTGAAAATGTAATATTTTAGTACTTTAGATGTGTTTCTTTTAAATTGTTTTATGCCTTTGTTTAAAATCTGAGTTCAAAGGCTCCAGAACCC